GTCACGCAACCGCTCGCTCACTTGATTCAACTGGTATTTTGTAGACGCTCCGACATATATTTCACTGATTTTTAAAATGGATAAGCTTGGTATAAAATTGTCTCACAGAATTCTTAGGATCTGTCTTCCTGGATAAATAGAGTAATCTTATGTCTATGTATTTTTCCATGACACTCTTAGCTAAGTCAATGACATGATTACTACTTTCGTGATCGAATTGGTGATTTTTTATTTCAGGAAAAATATCCTCATTAACAAAACTGGTTAATGTTTGTGTTACAAACCGGAATTTGTCTTTGTAATATATTTGAGAACCTTGATTTGAATTGATTGAGCTTCGAATGACTTGTTCAGATCGTCTGCAAATTTTAGTGACCATATTGGACGGGAACAGTAGTCCTCCTGCATCTCTTGCGTAAATTAAACTGTTTTTTTTCTCATCCAGGGATATTAAAGCTTTAACGCACTTATTACATTTGATTTTCTTTATTAAGTAATGTACAACAGCGCCAGCGACATATTCTATTATGCTTTCGGAAAACTGAGATAACGGCAAGGAATCAATAAAAGTTTCATCAAAGCATTCCTCAGTCTCGCAAGTTTCACCCCTTTCAGTCGTCATATTTATACGTTTTATAGCTGAAGAACAGTTTAATATGGCAATTTGTTCTAATGTTATACAATTACCGGTATTGATTTCTTGCAGTTCCATGTGTACAAGCATTTTTCTATAAATTCCACAAAACTGTTTTGGCGTTGGGTTGTTATTAGCCCCTCCATGTGATCTCATATTGCAGAAAAATAGTTCAATGTGGTCTTGGCTGATACGGTGAAACGATATATAAGGACAGCGCTGGTTCTTTATCAGATCATTAAATAAAAATTTTGCACTTTCAATACATATACAGAGTCCTAAAAATCCGGTAAATCTCGGTGTATCAATTAATCGCGTCTGCCTATTTTTGAAATTAGTTGTCAAATTCATCAACACACTTTTGCACATTTCGAGTTTTGATAAAATAACCTCAGAGTTTTCAGCATTTAATGCCCTTTTCAGTCCATATCCATGCACTTTCGAATCTAAGATATCAAATAAGTCGTTTAATATTAACAAAAAATTAGCTGTTCCATCTATTCCTTGAAACTGGGTTATCATCAAGGTGTTTTTACAAAATTGGAGAGCTATTGAAACACTTCTGCTAAACAATTGAGTGGCAAGTTTCACTTTCATAATATTCTTTTTAAAAAACAAATGTTCAGATCGTAGCTTGTTAGCTGCGTGAAACTTCTCGTTTTCTTGCAACTGGTGTAACATCTCAATATGACTCCATTTTATATAATTGCCTTCAGCGTCTATAAATTCCCTGTAATGTTCAAAACTATTTCTAACTAATTTTATCATGTGAGCCGGATCGAGAAAGATAGCTATTTCATTATTTTGCGCTTTAAAAACAGTTTTCAAATTATTCGGATTTAAATTGCATCCCAGTTTCTTGGCCATTGCTATATTGGCTGGACAGCCATCAAAGGTCACAGCTTTGACTACCAATCCAGCTTCAAAGCATAAGTCAATAGCTTGAGTAAGCAAAAATTTTTTTTGGTCAGCTGTCACTTTATTAATAAAAAAATACCCAATAGGAACTTTCCATTTACCGTGTAATGGAACAACTAGAAAAACTAACGCGTCGGTACATTCATCTCTACAGTCTGAATCCACACTTCCACCGTAATCTACATAACCATATGTCTTTTCTACTTTCCTCTCAATTTTCATTTCATCAAAAACAATGCAGCAATGAATGGGCAGATTTGTCTGTGTTGCCTTAAATTTCAGAGCATCAAAAGCTTCTTTCGTGAAACCTGGACGGCCATCTATAGATCTGTACCACTTTCCTAGTGTTTTTACAGAGGGTAAACAAGTACTAAATGTTTTGCGTACATAATTATAAGCTTTAGTTGAATAAAAATTTAAGATGAGTGCAAAAGCTCTCAACTGTGGTGAATATTTTCTCCTAACAATTTTACCTGATTTTCCTTTCACTATTTGACGACGAATAATTTCACTACATTTGACCCCTAAGGAACTTAATGCGTCATTGTTTTCGGCTGTTAATAAATTTTTGTTTTCTAATTCTAACAATAATGACTTCAAAGAAACTATTTTTCTTTTTAGTCTTCTGTTGGAATCACTTAACTTTTTAATTTTTTTATCTTTTTTGTTCATTACATTAGTTAATTCGATGATTCTTCTACAAAGATGTTTTTTAACTGGAGTATCAAATGCAGATGGCGTATCAGGTGTAGGAGCAAATTTTCTTTTTTGTTTTGTAGGCGTTTCTAAGCAATGGCTCTGATTCTTAGGTGTTGGCGGGTTTTTTGCGTCTTTCAGCAGAGAACGAGTAATCTGAAATACGTATTCGTTTCTTTTAAAATATTACCAATAATAATTTAGGTACTTATAATACGTTTATTATTCATTCATACAAATTATAATCATATTATTAATTATTTTTATAATCATACCGTTTTTTTTCAAGGATGTGCCGGCCACAGGAATTTCCGAATTTTTAGCTGCAATATCTGCACTTGAACCTATGGTAGGGATGGGTGTCTAGAAGTAGTATTATTAATTAATACACTATATGGCACGTCTTCTAAATTTAAATGTACTTTATAATAATAATAAGATATTACTGAAGTTCATGTAACAAAAGAATACCAAGTCAAAACAATAAATACATTATAACTTTTACATGTTTATGATTTATAAATCCTTTAAAAATAGTTTGATTTCAACATGTAACATTCACCTTAATATTAGAATATCATGTTTCATTCAACCACTTAATGCTTTTATTGGATAATCTATATTGGTACTAATCTTTTTAAAAAAATGTAAAAGTCCATACCAAAACTGGCAAGTATAGAGATGGTATAGCGGAATCCAACAGCCTTCTACGTTTTTTCATAATATGAAGATTGTCTTCTGTGAAGTGTCTTGAGCATAGCACACTATTTTTGGTAGGAAACCATCCGTCCCCTCCACAAGTTGCGTCGATTCACATCTTTTTCCTTTCGGGACATTTAGGAAACCTATAACATATAGGTACCAGAATGATATGCCACTATTTTTATAAAATAATATGACTTCAAAAAAATAATTAAACAGTGACCAAACATAAAATATCGACTTAAAAATCACAACACTATCGATACACGTGCTGTTGTTAGACAAAGACAACTACTGTAATTTGCGTAATGAGTGAAAGGGACATTTCAAAAAGACATCAACGGGTGCTCAATTTTTATCACTTTGCACTATTAATTGCCAGTATAAGTTGATCTCTGGTGCATTTGAAATAGGTTAATGTGATAAGAATAGAAATTGCTTACCGATGAAATGTTATGCCATCTTTTTGATAACTGGATGTCTTAGCTGACTAGCCACACCATTTTACTGCACAGGAAGCCATTTGTAATGTATTTTTGATACAAAACTATTTTTAAATTGTCAAGAACTCTTACGCGCCTACGGGTCGCAAACTTGGTCAACACTGATGTCATGATTCTTAGCGTCACTTCATATGCTAGCTACAGCAAGTATGTGTTGCGCGCGTTTGTGGCCCTGTATGCGGAATCTATTAGGAGGTAATCTGTGGAGAAGGACCACGCTCTCACAGAATACCAACGTAAAATATCAACTTAACGCTGCTGTGTTTCGTATGTTGAGTGTAGAGAACCGGAGACTCCTTTTACTGGAAACGAGGCATTCCATCTTAGACCTCACGCGTGACAACGCATCTGAATTTTGATTCGTAATCGAGGATAGATTGGATAAGCAACCGCTTACCATCAGGTGGACTGTGTGCTTGTTTGTCATCCTTATCATATAATAAATAATAATAACATTAAATAATATATAACATTTGTAAATATCAATGAATCATAAACCTTATATTTTCCAAATTAAGGTTCAAGGTTTTTCATGTTTTCAGTCATTATTAGGTGAAAATTTAATTTAAAAACCAAGGTTTTTCAGGGTGATATATCTATACCTACTTTGTTTTTGCATAAAAAATTAGCTCACCATTTCAAGGAAAACATGTAGAAAAACACGTAGTTAACCACTTAAGTATCCTTCCGTTTGCAACTGATACTTCATGTCAATTAAACAGGTCTAAACATTAATTTTACACATAGCTGATGGCACAATAGGCGTGTCATCGTCATTTCTATGGCGCTTGACACGACAAGCGTGTCACCAAAATATAAGTTCGCCGCTACAGCTAAATTGTTGAAAATTTCGTGTCGCAACGAATTGGTTAAACTTCTCTTCCAGTAAGCTCTGCATACAATTTTCCAGTGTCTTATATGACATATTTCTCACTAACAGTTAATAGATAAATCTTCCAAAAACAAAATATTTATCAGACATTCATAGATTTCTTCATATTATAGATCTATATTATAACTATTAATGCAAAATTTGTATATATGTAATTAATTTATCTTTTTTTCATAAATAGTACACGATTTGGAAAATAGATGTTTAGAATTTTCACACACAACTATGTAAGACACAATGTATATACAAATGTGGATCCTTACTGTATCTATATCATGAACACCAATCCTTACTAATTCTAAGACTTGGATATTTTTATCAAAAAACAATCAGTTTTCTAAGTTTATCTGATTGAAATTAGTTTGTGAATAAGTCAGACAAAATTGATCATAATCTGGCAACGGGGTTCAAAGTTGTAAAGAGAATAATTATTTCTATGTAAGTTTAAAAATAACTTTTATTTACATAATAAAGACACAACAAATGTATTTACAGTCAGTACTCACTTCATGCACAACCACTCATTTACCTTTAGAGATCAATAAAAAAACAATGTATTATTTATGATACTATTCCATTTATTTTTATACTTCAATCAATAAAAAATATAATTAGATAGCACAAAAATAAATGAAATCAACTCTTCTTTCCCTCCTTATCGTGCTGAGACGGAGACTTGCCATACTCGAATAATGTTGTCAGAGTATCCAGCAAAGAGGGTCTGACCATCAGTAGACCAAGCCAAAGACAAGCATAGAGGTGGATCAGCCTTAGTGTTCTGGGCCTGGTTGATGATTTTTGGTTTGAGTTCTTCCACCATCTCCTTACTTTCCAGATCCTGAACAACAACAATCTAGTTAGTAATGTTTTTTTTTAATTAGTTGAATATTTCTAGTTCCTACAGATAAGAATAAAGCTCCTGAAGCACAGAAATACTAAAGACACTACTATAAAATACTATGTTGCATTGATATTTTTTATTTAATTACAGTAAAGAGAAAATCAAATAATTATGAAAAGGAATTGCTTAACATTATAAATTTACTTAAATTTAATTTAACAAAAAACAACTGCCAAATTTAAAAATAATGCAATATTGGCAGCTTTATAAGCCATTTAGTATTTCACCAACAGTATATTGAAGTTTTCTCATCCAGTAAATATAGATATTTTATAAGAGTATAAATTAGTGATGAAACGAATACTACTTTTACGAATACGAATATCAAACCTAGTATTCCGCGAATACGAATATCTCTCCATGGTAATAAAAACTAATTTATTTGATGATTGTCTATTGTTCTAACAATTAAAATTTACTATAGGCAAATTTTTATTTAAAAACCATAAAATTTGTAGATTTTCTGGTTTTAGGCAATTTTTTTTTTCAGTTTGGATGTTCCCAGCCGTTGAAAAGTCTTTCCGAGGCGACTGTACATAGTTTCAGTAAAAAATATTTTTGAGTCCCCCGTCGTTGAGGCTAAGGGCCAAACAACATGTATTCTTTACGCGCCGACGACGCGCATTATCCTAGTCCGCCAGTAATTAGAGTTGCGTACAAAAATATTAGTTTTTAAATATTCGTGATCAGTATTCGCCGAATACAAATATTCAGTAAATGTCTACTATTCGGCGAATACGAATATTCATATTCGTTGCATCACTAGTATAAACAAGTTATTAATGTTAGTATCAAATAATAACATACCCAAATTTTGATAGAAGGCCCATATGCAGCACAAAGCCAGTATCTGTTAGGTGAGAAACAGAGTGCTGTGATTATATCATTGTGATCCAATGTGTGCAAGTGTTTGCCATCATTAAGATCCCAAAGCATGGCTTTCATATCTTTGCCACCAGACGCACAAAGTGAACCATCAGGGGACACTGTAACAGTGTTCAAGTATCCAGAGTGGCCAAGATGGTTGATCTTGAGCTTGCAATTGGTTAAATGCCAAACCTGGGAAAAAGAAATTCAAATTCAAATCGTTTATTGCGAATATAGGTTGATACAGTTGGTGTTTACATAGTTTATCACTTATAGAACAAACATTTAGTACAGCTATATTCCGCCATTTGGCATGCAATGTCCATCACATTTTATTACTTTTATATTAAATTACTTAAACATACTCTAGTTAAAATTGGAATTAACATGATACAAAATCAAAAATAATAGCGATAAGTCAATTTAGATAATATTGTATAAGTCAAGTCAATTTAGTTATTAAGAAATTGTAAAATATGAAAATACCATACTATTAAAGATTTTTATTATGTATATTTAGGCATAGCACAATCCAGAACACCAGATATCAGATGCCAAACTTTGGTAAAATAATCACACTTGCATAAGTAGGTACATTGAGTGTGGTATGTGCGTGCAATTTATTTTTCTGCTGCTAGCTAGAGAGACATGTGGCCTCTATACTGTAGGGCGTATTTGCCATAAACACCACATTTGGCTAGCAGTACTTTACATCTCACAACTCTGATGCTATTCATCACCAGTTTGGGTAATTTGTCTGGCATAAAAAGATGGTTATAACATCACTTTCCTTTGGGAAATGCCAAAGAGCCATGAGATCTTTGGCATTTCCCAAATACCTCAGACACTATCCATTGAGACAAAAAAAAGTGGTGGTTCTCTTATGTTGCCACCACAATTATTGAATTTAAATTCAAACCTAGCAAGAGCTCTGGCAAATTATACCATATTTAAGTAGAATAGACATTTTCTGGATGGAGTGTGACAGTTCTACATTTTTAATACCATTTCCAAGCTGACTCATTAAAGAAGCTATGCATAATAGTTAGAATAATATCTAGTCCTTTGGTTAAAAATAGCCATGAAAAGATCTAATTATTAATAAAATATAAAAAAAGAATAAAAAATAAAAAATTGCATTCAATTAAGTAAAAAAGTAAAGTTAGGGCTATATATATATGTACTGCTAGGTATAGACTTCACATTTCACATAGGGTCAGAGGTTATGGGATTGTTTCCTGGCACAACAGCTTAGTTATGATTTGCGACACTGAGGGCCACAGGTTCGAATCTCACATGGCATAAGTGTTGGTATGGCCTCTAATAACATGTTTCAGGTAAGGCCTTGTGAAATTTATATATATAGCAATTAAAGAGATCAACTACCCCTTACTACCCTGTGGGTGTTTTAAGAGGCTACAGAGGGAAACGAAACATACAATAGGCTAGCATATTCTTGTAAATAACTCAAAATAAAAAAAAACCCTACAGTTAGCTAAAATTGCAGCTATATCAACTTATACTACTATAAGTCATGTTATATATAGTGTTGGCCTAATTTTAGCAATGGACTGCTGATAGATTGTAAATAAATGAAAATATTGCTGCAAGTGGATTTAACTCATCTTTGAAATATTTAAATTTTTAGACATGCAGATTTCCTCATGTTTTCCTTTACTAGCATGTAAAAAAGCACTTAAAATTGCAATTAACAATTTCAACATTACTAGTAGGGATAACACCTGGGTTGCTCAACTACTGATAAATGACAGTTTCATGCATACTAAATATTAAGAAAACTAACCTTAACAGCACGGTCCCAGCCCGCAGATACAATAATAGGGTTGGCATGGTTTGGCGAGAAACGAACACACGAAACCCAGTCAGTGTGGCCATCATCTTGAATGGTGTACTTGCACTCTGCTAATGTATTCCACAACTTGATGGTTTTATCACGGGATCCTGACACTATTTGACGGTTGTCAACTGAGAACGCCACTGACAGGACATCCTAAGGAAATAAAATATATAGTTTTATAAAACACACTAAAATATGTTTATTAACTTGCATTAAGATTAAAGTAGCTAAAGGGTCTTGTGCTCTAAGTGCTAGTAGACAGTACAAATGCACACTTATATTACATTTAGAAATAACAATAATTTTTATAGTAAATGGCAAACTCGAACTAGATGTGCTTACATGAATTTACTTACGGCAACGCCGCTGGACAGTGACCTCTATAGCTCTATCTTCTGCCTCGCAAAGGCACAAACAACGTCTTCTGCCTCGCATAGGCGCTAACACTTTACAGATAAAGACACTAAGCCCTAACAAATTATAAGTTCTGTCACACCTTTGTATGATCTTCAAAACGCCTGGTGGTTTTTCCAGCAGCGAGATCCCACAAACGAAGAGTTTTGTCCCAAGATCCAGACAAAGCGTAGTTTCCATCACTGGACAAAACGACATCTGAGATGAAGTGCGAGTGGCCATACAGACGCTTCTGAGGTACGCCATAGCTGGTCTCGTCTCTTGTCAATTTCCATACGATGAGAGTTTTGTCTTGAAACAAAAAATTAAACAAGATAAAAATATATTACAAAATATAGCAGCAACCTTTAATATGGGTTCTACTTCAGCCCCATATCCGCTTGCCGATCAGACATCACGTGGCAAAGATTTTTTCATCATTTTGATTATGTTAAAAATAATAGTTGTCGTGTATGCTTATAGCCGTATTAATTCATAAGGGTAATCAATAAAAGACAATAAAACATTGCATTAAACGATTACTATGGATTAAATATTACTAATAAAACCTCACCTCGCGAAGAAGATAAAATCATATCAGGGTATTTAGGATTTGTTGCGATTTGCGTAACCCAGCCATTGTGGCCACATAGGTTTTGCCTTGGCTTCAAAGTTTCAGTCATTTTTCACAAACACTGATCAACCTGCCACTGCCACCAGCTACCCCACGTAGTAAAAGAAAGAACGGTAAAATGACAGCTGGTCAGCGGGTCGGATAAATTGTTGTCTTTTACGATTCCTCAACTAAGACAGGCAAAGATCTTACGCCATACAGCCTAGTCTGATTTTGTGTTTTGTTCATTGACCTTCATATTATATACCTACTAGTACGCTAGACTGGCTGGCACACCCTACAAAACGTTTGTGCCGATTTGAAGCGCTGCCATTGAGTGTACCGGGAACTAAATTGGACATAATTTGCAAATAGTCGTTATTTTACCCAAAACATCTAAGAGCATTTTAACATTTTAAACAAGAAAAAGAGTGTGTTGTGGAATTCGGTTATGTTTCATGCTATCAATATAATTAAAAGTATTTGATTATGACTTTCATAATTTGTACTATAGTATTCTTTAAAGTAATTTAAACTTTTTTTAAATTCCAATTGTACGTATAGATACATATATTTTTGAAATAGGCATAATATTTTGGCGGCATATTGATTTTCTAGAACAAGCACTTATCTTAAGAGGAATATTTTGCAATAAATTCTTAACCAAATTATTTATTTTTATTTTGTAGTTACCTACTCCTGTTATTCCTACTCATTGGACCTTTTTATGCCTCGAATGAATCATATACAATGAAAAACTCAGTCAATAGTTACAAAGAAAAACGAAGGTAGATCTACACAGCGTCGAGTTTTGTTTTATATGAGGCATAAAGCTTGTGTTTACGACATAGGTATAAGTCGATGCATATATTTATTGTATGATATTATACCTCTCAGGTTCCGGCATTGTAATGGGCCAACTTAGTCAGACCTATGGTCAGGTCATAGATATAGTATATACTCCAGAGTTTAATACTATATCTATGGGTCAGGTCTAGAACAATTTTTTTTAATAAAGACAAATATAACGTAGAGTCATTATGCCAATTAATTTTATTAAAAATAAAAATATTATCAACATCTAAAATATCGAATTATCAGGTCTTTTCCTATAAAATTGCCATTTTTATAAGTTAACGTAATTCTTTTCTTTCTGTACTTTGTATTTCTATTTTCTATTAATCAAAGCAATCACCCATGCCTGTTTGCCAACGCAGTGGCAGTTTATTAATGCCCGTCTTGAAAAAATCGGCTGGACGGGAGTCAACAAACTCTACAAAGGTATTTTGGACTGCTCTCTCGGGTGTTGAATTTTTTTCCATCAAAAAGTTATCCAAATTCTGGAAAAAGTAGAAGTCTGTAGGCGCAAGTTCCGGTGAGTACGACGCATGACGGAGAGCTTCCAACCCTAGCTCTTGCAACTTGGAGACAATCTGTTGTGCAGTATGAGGACGCGCGTTGTCGTGCAGAAAGCAGGGGGGACTAGCGATTTACCAAAGCTGGTTGGAGACAAGCGAGTTTCTCCATCATTGTGTTCAGTTCTTTACAGTACACATCTGCAGTAACGCTTATCCCCTTTGGTAAGAAGCTGTGATGAATCACACTGGCGCTAGACCACCAAACAGTGACCATCACTTTTCTAGGGATAAGTTTACGTTTAGGCCATTGTAGAGACGCTGAACCAGGATCTAACCAACTTGCTGAGTGCTTGCGATTCTCAAACAGAATCCATTTTACGTCGCAGGTAACAATGCAGTTCAAAATTCCTTCGTTTGTGTGCCTCTTGAGCAGTGCAAGGCACGATTCGACACGTATGCCCATCGCGATTGCCATCATTGAGTTCGTGAGGTACCCATTTGTCAAGCATTTTTCCCTGCCAATTTGACACAAATGCACCAATATTGTTTTGATGATAACGTCGACAGCTTCTGCTAATTCAGCCGTAGATTGAGTATCATCAGCTTCCAACATCGCCTATAATTCGTCATTGTTGACCAAAGAATTCGGACGACCACGGGGTTCATTTTTCAGGTTGAAATTTCCAAAACGAAAGCGGCCAAACCAATAACAGGTCATGCGTTCATTTGTAGTATCCGCTCCGTAAACGCCGTTGATATTGCTTGCCGCTTGGGTCGCGTTGCTGCCACTATATCTACAGCACTCATATTCCACAATTACTCGAACGTATCCATGATGACGAAAAAGATTCAAATGCGATGAAAAAATAACGCTAATCTATAAATAGATAATACAAATGAAAAACACTAAGACCAACGCCTCAATTTCGGTTCTTAGTTTTTAGCTTTGAATATTTTCCCCTCGAAAATAATTTAGCACAATGGGTCTGGCCACCCAATTTTGTTAAGGGTATCAATAAATTGAATAAAAAATTACGAATTCAACGGTATTCTTATTTTTTTTCTACCTTTAAAAATGACTGAAATATTGATGAGTAAAGTGGTGTTTTACGGTAAGGGCGACCGCTTTGCTCTGTATCGCGATGTGACGTCACAAAGAGACACGTCGAAGCCACCATTAGTTTTATTGTTATATTTTTCTTATTCTCTTCATATTTATTACTCCATATTTTTCTTGTCATGTTATTTATTTATCAATTACCTTTATTTTCTGTTTTTTTTTTTTTAATTTCTGATACATCACGCTCCTTGGGAATAAAAGTCCGATATGAGAAGATAAAATCCTGTAGATCAAGTTATACCTTAATGCAAAATTTCATCAAAATCAGTTTAGTATTACACGCATTGAATGTTTGCGACCATTGCATTTTCAAAACATTATAGGTACCAACTACCAAAGTAATACCGCAATCAGTTTATTCAAAAGTAAGTCAAGGTCAAAAAAGGACCATATGTTTGCAACCCCTGACGAACTACGTAACCAACAAAATTTCTTCACGTTTCACTGGGTACTAAATAACAGTACGAGTTGATTAATACTCACTGCATTAGTAAGTTTAAGTAAGTGTTTTCATTTTATTTCGTTGTAAATCATGTGCAACTTCATGGTTCGGTCATTTAATACCTACCTATCTATTATTGCCTAATTACTAGTCAATGGTAAAGCTGTATACTTTTCGTAATCTTTTATAAGTAACTTAACTTTAGAGCTTTATTTCATGCATTTCTGATGATAAAAAATCATAATTTTGTTAAAAATACTGCGCAACCATAAAAATATCCACTTTTGGCAGATTAGCTGACTGTCTTTTTTCAAAGCCCGCTTCCATTTTCTTTTTTATATAGCACTACACACCGGGACTATACATATAAATATAATCATATAAAAGTTCAATACTTTAGTTTATAAATCAAATCAAATATTCATTTGTGACTCACAGTTTGCAAAAAGGTTTTATTTAAACACAAATAAAGTTCAGTATGTGATCAGCCTCACGGGCATAAAAATGTATTTTTTTTAATTTTTTTTATAGAATAATAATATAGAATAAGCGTGACAAACGAGCACACAGTCCACCTGATGGTAAGTGGTTGCTGTGGCCCATAGACAGCTACATCTATCTTCGTTTGCGAAATAAAATGCAGATGCGTTGCCAGCCGTGAGAACTAAGATAGAATGCCTCTTTTCCAGTAAAATGGGTCTCCGGTTCTCTACACTTCCCATACGAAACACAGCAGCATTATGCTGCTATTTTACGCTGGTATTCTGTGAGAGCGTGGCCCTTCCCCGGTCGAGCCGACTCATTCGTGCTACAACTATACTATTAATATAGCTGCAGTATAGCTCTACTATACCACGTAAAATTACAAATATAAATAATATATAAATGTCAAATATTAACTCGCCACACTCGACGCACACCGTGGAAATCGTAGTTCGGTGGGGAATATAACGACATAGATTTCACTAGACAGTGGTCAGAAGTTCCCGAAGGTGAGGTGACCTGAACATTGTACCTCTCTGGATCGGTCGTCAGCAGAAGATCGAGTCAGTTGGCTGTGCGCCCATCCACATCAGGTATCCTATTCGCTTGTTGTACTAGCTGGAAGAGCCCCAGCGACAAGATAAAATTCCACGCCTCTCTCCCAGCGTGGTCGGTCTTCTGGTATGGGAACAGCCAGTCCTGATGACAGGCATTAAAGTCGCACAGAAAAACAACTGTGCATTAGGGTACCGATTTAGAGCCACATCAGAGGCTTCACTGAGGTGTTCAAACAGCCTAGTTTTCTCCTGGTCACCGCTATGCGATCGGTTGACACAAGAATAAATAATTTTATCCATTCCTGTGTCTATACCAATACCCAGATCGTTGAGAAAGTGGTGTCTTCAAGGTGACGGATTACATCAGATGTCATTGCGGACGTAAACACAGACTCCGTCGCGCTGATGGAAATTATGCTCCAATGTGTACAGGGTAGCCAAAGTACACCGCATCTAGAGGACATCTGATCTGCGTCTCAGTCAAGAAGAGTAAGTGCGGCTTTTTAGTCTCGAGGTGGTAATGGATTGCACTGAGATTAGAGTGCAGGCCTCGGATGATTGTGGGGAGCACTATGATGGATAGGGAATGCAACCGCTGTAAAAACTTACTCCTCTTTTTCCTGTTTTTAATTGTGTTATGTTTTTACATTTAATCTTATATGTGTATAGCTTTTCTAAACTTTCATCCTATTTCATTTAATAATTCGTCGAAAGAGTTAACAGACATCCATATTTAAAAAATATCTCTGGATAGATAGATCTTTTTACATAATATTGACTATATTGCAAGCTTGAGGTGATAAGGGGATGCGCCCAGTAATAATGATACAGCAACACTGGAATCGCAATCAGAAAATCGTGGACTTTATTCGCTGTCAGAATAGACTCAATGGTTAACGTCTCTCAATTAACCCTTGTTATTTCGAACGGAATAAACGTATGTGTGTGATGTTTTCACGAAAACCCAATTCAGAATTCTGAAACGGCTTCCCGAAACAGAATTCCGTATGTATATGGCCGACCTTATAGTCTTTGCGTTGTAGTATGGTGCAGATGACAGGTTGTCAGGTTGTCAACTCACTAGAACGTAACTAGCGTGCCGTAATCGAT